TAGCGTAAATTTTGCTTATTGCGAACCAAAAGATCGTAAGGCGATTCCACAAATATATCAAGACTGTCGGGCAGTCTGCCTGGGATGGATTCGCACATACGTTGCGTCAGGCAACGTATGTGTTACCGAGCGTCAATTTCTTACACGGTCGCCGACGATGATGTCACGGAATAATTCTTCGCGATGACGTCGCTGAGAAAAAAATTGCGCGCATTTACCGATGCGCCAAATATTTATTATAACTCCAGACGCGAATCGTAAATTTCGATTACTTGACTGTTCAACGAGACGCGCGCGTTTTGCAACCTTCGATCGCGGACGAGCGCGCGAGTTGTAAACTCGCGAGCGCACATGTCGAATTGTTGCTACATGGAATTTTTCGCTGTACGTACTTCCCGGCTGACGTAAACTTCCGGCGGTTACTTCCACACACAGCGCTCATTGAATGAGAGAGTTCTCGTTCGTCGGAATGGGAGACGGAAAATTAAAGTCGCGAACGCGAGCAAATACAAAAGGAATAACGAAAAAAAAAACGTGCTACTTTTAAATGCGGAATAGTCGCTAAATTTACGTTTCTCGCACTCCATCCGTCTGTGCAACCGCTCTTTAAAAACCTATCTGCGTAGGTATAATATGTTTTTAGAACGTTTTACCTATATGTTTTTCTCTCTTATTTTTTGTTTGCCTTGTTTATAAATGTGTCATCGTGTCAAGTCCGTAAATAAACAATCGTAACACACACGTGTGTCTTTCAAAAGATTGTATTTTTATCGCTTGAAATTTAAATAAATTCAACAAACGGCGTGTGTTTTCGGAATTCGAAACAATGCGACGGGAGACGAACACTTGTGTATGACAAAAACCGTTCTTATTCTTCGTGTTATTTCAGTCACAGAGCATTTACAGACGTGGAAATAAATGCCTTTTTAACTCGTCAATTGACCTAACTATTTTGTCACATTAATAATGAAACGTTTTGTCACGTTTGTTACCTCGCGTTTAAACATAAAGTAAAGTCACTTCAAGTCTTCTCATTGTGAAAAAGATATCGATTACACGGGTATTGCTGTAAAGACCTTCGTTAGGTAGCTTCCTATGGGCACTGTAAACACGTGGAAACCCGGCCGGGGCTAAACGCCGGCGCTAAAGAAAAAAAAAAGGTCCTCCGCGCGCAGCAGGGATGTGCCTTGCGAGGTGCGAGGAAGGTCTCAATAGGATAAAAGACGACGAGGTTGGAATGTCAGTGGAACACGCCCAAGGTACGTGTAATTCGATGCGTTTGCGCGTCAACGGCGTGCGCGAGTTTACCTGTGCATATACGCGCGCTTCCTCCTCTTCCTCCTCCATTTTTTCCCTCTTTGCAGCGTGAAAATTATCCACCCGCCGCACGCGTTACGTCACCGTAGAAAAAATATACACCGCGCGATCTCCGCGCTCGCGCGGCTATACGCGGAGAAACGCGATCCGATCGGGGACACGATCAGCGCGTGATGTAAACGCACGCACGCGCGCGCACATACACACATGGTGTAAATATCGCGCGCTGCGACTCGTCGATCGAGGCCGTAAAACGAATCCCGGGGTTTCGAGAGAGCGAGCGAAGGGACCTGAATATATATATATATATATATATATATCGGCGTCCCCTGTAATTCTGACTCTTTCCCGCGTCTCACAGGCGCAAAAAATACATATTACATGTGTGTAATGTACGTTGCTCCATTTTCTGTGGAAATACTCGCGCGCGCGTGCACACGTTATTTGTTGTAAGTTGAAAATATGCTTTGAATCCGTCCAATCTCAAAATTCATTTCAGCCAATTAGTGAAATTAACGGGTAATTAAATGTAAATTGAGAAAATAAACAGTATGTGTGTGCGTACACGTAAACTATATACACACATGCGCGCGCGCGCGCAATTTAGTGATAATATCGCGTAACTTAATCACAATAAATATGTATAAATATATTGTACCCGTTGTATCGTCGTAAGTTGTTATGGTGATTCGTTGGTAACACAGTGAAACAGAGAGAAATAAAAACGTACAAGTGTATCGTGTATTCAGCTTCGTCTCAGTGACTCAGAATAACGCGTCACAGTCAACGACGCGATAAAATTGCGAAATATTTGAAAAAAAAACAAAAAAAAAACAAAACAAATGCGTTCTTACTTCAAAATAAAGCTCCTCGTAGAGTAAATGGTAAATCAAATCGAGTAAAGTTCTCTCCGCACAGTACGTTTGTTTAATAAAAACAATATCGAAAAGCCACCCTTTAATCTTTTGATCTCTCTTCTTCTTTGTTTCTACAAAGACACGAGACTGCACAATTCTCGCGAATGTTGTTTGTAAACAATCGATCCACTTGTTCTCTTTTTAACTTGTGAAGCGCGGTTGAATACGTACAATTTAATTACATCATTACGAGAATGATCTCGAGGCACGAGATGGAGAGAAATGTCGATGCGCCAAATAAAACGCGCGAGAGGAACGTTATTTTCGCGTATGCTCTTTCGGTTGCACAAGGACAAATGCAACGAAATAACACGGAAAAGTGTAACTAACGAACGTTAAAAAAAACTTTCTCAAGAGGTTAGGTTATATACAAAAAATCTTTCGAGCGCTGCTTTTTTTTTATACAAAGAGCAACGATAACGAACACACGCATACATACATACGTACTTTAGTCAGGCCGTGGTTCTCAACGTTCGGCGGTTGATTTAGTCTCGTCACTCCTCTCGTCACCTCAAGCCGCTAGTATATTTCCAACACGAAAGGCTCTCGTGTGTCACCTGATTCACAATTTTACGATGCCGTGAGATAGACCGAAAGAATCGACCGACTTCACGCGCACTTTTTTCTGTCGTGATAGCGCAAATTCGGAGAGAAATCTCGGTGTACGCGCGCGAGGATTGAGGTTACGTGTGCGTTCGTTTCGACGCGACCGTCAACGAACAAGTGAAGTACGCGGCGATATCGCGAACGGCGGCGAGCGAGAGAAAGACGGGCAGAACGGCAATTGTGCGTTTCGAAACGCGGCTATCGCGCGCTGTTACGCGATACATACATAGTTCAACGACGACGGACGGTGATAACGATAAGCACTAACGACCACCAGCGAAAATTCGAGCGACCGTGTCTCGAAACTATCTTGGAGTACTGACTTCAGACGATCGAGACGCAACGCGTTTCCAGCGCCCCGCGCGAGTTACTCGATTTCGCGAGGTTTTTCCTTACGAGTCGCACTTCACGCGATATCGCGCGCTGTTATTTCATTTTTCAGACGCAAAACAAAGACACGATCCAAGTAAGTGCGAATAACTTTTCGATCTTGTTGTTTTTTTTTGTTTTTCTTTTTTATTTAATTTATACGTGTTCTAACCACCGAGAACGTCGAGTTGAGCAAATCGTCGCAGAATTCGCGTAGGTGACTATGTAAGATGGAGAAGAAATAGAGGAGAAAAGAGACGAGCGGAAGAACATTCGCGAAGTTCATGAAAAAGTTTGATTTCATCTTTTTTTTTCCTAATTAAAATGGAATGCGTTTTTACGTGTGCTCATTGCGTGCATAGGACGGTTTTAAATCAAATAACATTGCAAAATACATCGCGCTGCATCAACGATATCATAAATTTGCTTTTTTTTTTTTTTTTTCGAATACACGATCGTTTCTCCCGTTTGCGCTGAATTAATCATTTTCCAACAGTTATAACCGTATTGACAGTTGGATATACGCGACACTCAATTATGCTGCAAACTGTCAATAAAAGTCATCATCTGATCGAGTTAGCAGATATCTTGATTATGTGTTTTTAGTGACTTTTTTGTCGAGCCACACGAACGGCCACGTTCTCTCACGTGGTGATAAAAAATTACGCTTCATCAAACTTATACACGTCGCATGTGCAATAAAAAAACCAACTTTGCTTCATTTTCTTCTTGCGTCCATTTGACTTTCAAATTGTAATACGTCGATCCGACGATTCTCTCGTTTGTAGAGAACACGTTTGTATAAAAATCGGAGATTAAATTATTTGCACCGATGTGTGATTTATTTATTTATTTATTTTGTTTTTTTTTTTTTTTGTCTTTTTTGCTTTGTACTTGCGCACGTAACAATGTTGCATAATTCCGCGACATATGTAACACACAGTATGCAACGGAACGTAATTGTATACATTTCTTTTGTATAACACAAATATATGCGCGAAGTGTAACTCGACGACCTATTTAACATCTTTTAACGACACTGTGTGTGTGTGTTTGGAAATTCACGAGGACTTTCCTGCGTGTGTTTGACTATACTCCCGGAAATAAACCGCGGAAACTGAAGTTTCTATCCTCAAACAATCATAAAGTCACGGCAACTCGCGTCTAAACCCCGGCATCTCCTTGTCAATTGCACACGTGACTCTGCTGTTTACTCGAAAAGTGTTCGTTCGAAAAAAAACAAGCGCGTTATCGCGCGATTATCACGCGCCCCGAGTTTTAACTTTGTTTTTTTTTCTACGAGAACACACACACACACCGTCGGAACGCGACATTGCGAATTCGCTCGCCGAAAGAATCGGAACTTCGAAAAAAAAAAAAACAGTCACGGCGCAATTCTTGCGTTATTCTCGAGCAACGTGACGTCATTCCTCAGCGCGCACACACGTTTACGATATATTAATCACAACATATAAAACGGCACCACGCGATATATATACGCACATACACGCGACGCCCACGCGGAAAACGTCACGTCCATCGCGCGAGTCTCTGCTTCGTCGTTCCCTCATCAGATATTGTACGTTCTTGCTCGTATTTACGATCGGTACCTACACCGCGCGTCACACCCACGCCATCCGTCTCGTGACACACGCGAGAGACACATACATACACGCATACGCACACGCATCGAGGCACACGGTGTTCAACGTGGACAGGTGTGCCCAGTGGGTAAACCACACAGAAATAGAAAACAAAAAAAAAGAAACTTAATGTATGATGTGCATTTACCTTGATCCGAAACACGCGGAACGCTCAGCCGCGATCTTGCCGCGATGTCGGTCACGCGTGGACGCTCGATGATCGTCGTGCGGCGGTGCTCTTCTTCTCTTCTGGTCTCCTCTCTTCGGGATCGACTCGGAAGAGACGACTCCACTTCACCGATCAACAAAACACCAAAGCGAAATTTCTTGTCGGGCACTTAAATATATTTTGTGTATTTATATCCCGCGATTATGTCGAATAACCACCACTGCTCCGGAAAACTCTGTGTCTGACGCCTCTCGGCGCGCTTTCCTCTCCACTTTTTATTTTTACTCCGAAACTTTGCCCCGTTGCGATCTCGCGGGCACGACGCACGCACGGACGTGATGCGTCGTCGTCTGGTCGCAAATCACCGTGCGAGTTGTTTCGCGAATGAAAAAACAAACGACCGCTCTCTGGTATTTTTTTTCCTCTTTCTTTCTCACTCTCTTTCTCTCACGCGTTAGCCGGCTTAAATACCCGTTGCTGACCCGCCGCTGCGATATTCCAACTCATAATCAGCTTTCCCCGATCACACGAGTTCCGCCGTTTCTTTCTCAGATCCGTGCACGCTGCCGCTTTCTCTCTCGCTGCTGTTCGTCCGATGTTACCTCTCTCTCTCTCTCTCTCTTTCTTCCTCTTCCTTCTCTCTCACTCTGTCTCTGCTTTCGCTCCCACGCACCAGATGCGTCTTTGACGTTTCTCTGATGGTCAAACGGAAATGTCAAACGTCGCCGTGTGGGAAGCTTGAACGAGCCGCTAGCGGCTAGGCACGCGCACGACCTGGACGACGAAAAGTTGCGGCAACGACGAACGACGGCGACGACGACGACGACGTGGATGACGAAGATGACGACGACGACGACGACGACGGCGTACTACGTGTCGCGACGATGACGACGGCAGTAGTAACGGCGGCGGCGGCAGCAAGCTGCGGCTGCGACGTC